CATAAACAAATTTTAATAGAAATAATTTTTAGTTTACCTTTACAAGAAGTCCCAATAAGAGAATAATTGCCAAAGGTATTAAAACCATTAAGGTATATTTTTTATACAATATTCCATTATTTCCTTTAGGTTCTTCTAGTATAATACCATATTCTGTGTTACTTATACTTTCTGTTGCTTTATTTATGATAATATCCTGTGTCTCTTCTAATGTAATTATTCCAATAGAATCATCGCTATTATGTGCTCCTGAAATTCCATTAGATATTACACTTATATGAAGTGATATGCGGAAAGTACATAAATTTATTTATTTAAATGTATGTCCTTGATGAGATAATATCATTGGACGTGAAGGATTTTTTTTGAACACCTAGTTATGAATAATCATCTCATTTAGAAATTGACTAACTTTTCTTCGATAGTTCAGATCCTGGAAAAAAGCTAACTAACTGAACCTGCTGATCATTACATAATTGTACTTTATTTGATTGAGCTTCATAAGGAACTACAGTGACAAGTTTCTCATTACTTAATTCATCATTACAAAATTTTCTACTATCACCAATTTCACTAAAATCATATACATCATTACCAGTGTTACTACTCATGGATTTACTCCTGTTAATTCCACTACAAGTGTCCTCACCACAAATAGATCTACTACTAGAATATTCAGCATCATAAGTTACGCCACTAGATACTTCATCCATAGGAGTTGTATTACTAGAACCTATATCAGTGTTTTGATTATCGACGTCTGCAGTGTTAGTATCTACGCTAGCATCAGAAACGTTACCCGTGTCTTCATGAGAATCTTCTACAGTGTTACTATTTGATCTAAGTTCAGATGTTTGTGCACCTTCTTTTGGAAGAATGACATCCTGAAGTGATTCCCTTTCGGGGATATTTTGAACAGAAGAAGATGTTTCTTGCGTATCCAATTCTATATTTGATATGTCTTGTGTCAACCCCACTTCATACACAGATTTACTAGACGTATATTTATCTGTTGTTTCATACGCATCATCTTCACTTTGAACAGAACCACCTGAAACCTGGAGGTCCTGTTTATTCTCAGAAGCTATTCCTTCTTTATCTGATACATTATCCTGTAATTGCTCTTCATGTTTTTCTTGGGCATATTTTTTTTCTGATATTATGGTTTTAGAGGATTCTACATGGGATAATAATTGTGATTTAACTTCTTTTTCCTCTTCTATTTCTGTTTTACATCTTTTATAGCATTCACTTGTCTCTAATACTAATTTATTAACATTTTCATCATAAGATACTATATCCTTATTAAATTTTGATGCATTCGAACATTTTTTAATCAAATCCTCTATTTTTCCTCCATAGAAGGAATAAAAATAATTATCTGTGCATTCTTTTAAATCATAATATATTTTTAATATATATATATTTAATTCATAGCATTTTTTGCACAAATCTGTACATGTGTTTTTATCAAAATTAGGAATTTTATTACTAAATTCATTAGAATATTTAAAATTATTGTCCATGCACTCTTCCTGCTTAGTCTGATTATCCCTAACGACACTAACAGTTATATGAGTCATTTTCTATCTATTATTTTTTATTATAATTTTCCTTCCCTGTTCTTTGTTTAAATGAATAATTCGGGAGCGTACATTATATAAACAACTAATCATATTCATAAAATGAAGCTTAGTACTTTTGTGTGATAATAATATACTATTATATTTAGGTGAGTACAAATAGTAACACTCAAGAATATTATAAATTAATGTGTATTATCGTATAATTATAGCGTATAAACAGTAAAAATCTCAACCATTGCAATAACAACACTTGCACATATAGTTATTTATTAACTATAGCTTTAAATAAATTGTATTTGCAAATATATTTTCAATAAAATTATAACATTTTTATTTATTAAATTAATATACGTGTCAATATGCACAAATAGGCTTAGACATAAACTGATGATAAAACATAAAGAAATATAACGTGTTTATATAAAAGGCCTGCAGACAAATGAAATAATGGATCCAGAAATGTTTCATATAAATGATACTACAAAATTATATAATACTTGTTCTGGAAATTGTTACACATATATAAATATATATATGTGCATTCTCCTTTTATATTCGTAGTAAAACAACATATATAATTAATATACCTACATATGTCACTGTAACTCCAGTTTTCCTTTATGGTGTAATTGATTTCTTATCATCAATGTTGTTAGTAAAAAGACGTGAGTATATATTTTGGTGTCAAATAAAACGCTGAGTGCTTCTTTTTAGTTATTAATATGCTTATATATATTGGATCCTATAGTGTTGCATATAAAGGAAAAGAATGTTATACATCATTTTCTGATTCACTTGTTTTATTATTTTAAAAACGACTTATACTTAAAATGTCTATATAACTATTAATTCAAATTATATTCAGTATTGCTCAAAAATAAACTATTTATGTTTCTGTTACATATGTATATTTTTTAGAAGAATAAATATATTTAGAATATATATATAAAATATATGAGCAAAGTATAATTACAAGTATATATTTAAATTTAATTAAAAATCTAATTTTTTTGTTCTCTATAAAAATATGATTCTTTAATGCTTTCACTTGTAAGTTACTGTACATAGGTCCTTTCAAATTAACATTATTTCATGGTCTTTTTATTAACTGGAATAAAGTATTAATATATCATGATTATAAAAATCTAAAATGTTTACAAATGTCAACATATTATATGGTTATAAAGTGATTTAATTTGTGTTGTTCAGTATTTATATTTGTAAAATTACATATTATTTTAATACATTAATTTTGTTACTCTTTCTTGGGTTGCATTGTTAATAACGATATTAAATGTTCTGTTTCTTTCTATATTTTCTACTATGGGATCTTTATATATAATAACTCTTTCAAAATAATGTTATTATTTTATGTAAAATATGTTAAATGCGTTTAGAAAAAATAACTCATGAAATGTTTAGTCCTGGTTCTTCTTCATTTAAATGTAGTATTTGATTCATATTTTACTATTTTATTTTTTAAATACATTCATTACATATATGAAGCTGTATATACAGTACTTTTATATCTGTTATGTGTGTCCGTTAATTTTAAAGTATCATGTTCGTCCCCCTTAATGCAAAAAACAAATTCATTAATTTCTTAAATGTTTGCTTAAGCATTTTTTATGCTACAATTGTTAAATATATGTATTTATTTATTTTAAAATGCTATTGTCTTTTTATACACAATTCTTTTATGCTTTCTTTCTCCTTTTAACTTAGAGTAGATATATTATCATTTTAAATATATTACACATTTTAAATAAATTATTTTATTATAAGCAAGTTAATTTTATTTTCCTATAATATGAAACATAATGATGTTTCATTTTCTTTGTATCGCAATTAAAAGTTTAAAAAAATTGTCTAAATTTCTTTTCGTACATCTCACAATGTCAAAAAAAATATTATGAATTCTGCTGTAGCTTTGCAAAAACATTAATTATTATAATCCATTTTTCTTGGACAATTTTGAAAAAAAATTTGGTCATGCGAAATCTTCCTAATGTGTTATGAGAAAGGTATGTTGAAAAAATGCCCTTTTTCTGTAATATATAAATTCAAATATATATTTGCAATCATTGTGATAAATTTACATGTATCATTTAAGTCTTATACTAGTATTATCATAATGGATATGTTATTAGGGGATGATGAAAAAGAATCAAGCAATGCGCGGTATAATTACTATAAAAAGACAAATGAATACACAATAACATGTATGCTATGAAATAGTTGCATCACATATAGCACCTAGAGAGTGAGGGCACTTTCTTATGCTTATATGTACAATACGAATATTTTTTACATTATGTACGCAACAAAAACAATTGACATTTGATTAGGGCTCAGCTTATTTGTATATAATTAATGAAAAAAACACTCCATTTAATGTAAGCATTCTTTATGCCCCTAATTTATTTCGAAAATGTTTCTTGAATTATAACTTATGTTACATACCTCTTGATGCTAAAACACTTAAAAAGCTCTATCATTTTATGCTTATTATTTAATAAACACAAGAATTGCACACTATTAATTTATACGTTTTTAATAAAATATCTGCAAAAATTTTATATTTTTTTAAAAAAAATATATTTACCGTTTTGGTGATTATTAAAATAAGAAATAAATGAAATATTTGGTAAAATTCAGTTTAACGATGCACTCATATAAATGGTGCAAATTGATTTCCTTTTAATATGTTCAACATTATAAAACTTTGTGTTATTTTGGTTTCAAGGTACATTTTATTGAATAAGATCCTTTACATTCATTTTTTTAGACTATTTAAACAAGCAAAATATAATTTTTTTTTTCAAATCATTAATCTCAAACGTTTATTTTATCTGAACAAAGCAATATTACACCATAAAAGTTTATTTTTGAGATTTTAAAAATTAATGTATTAAGAAAAAATTTTTTCTGGTGTAACTAATTTCTGGTATATCTAAATTCGAAACTTTATTGAGAAATATAGAGATGTGGAATATCAGAGACATCTAATTTACAACATTATGAATATACTAGACAATTTTTATACATTAAATGAGATTAAATTATCGAATTTATACTTATAATTTTATATCACTCGTCTTTATTGATATTATGAATTATTAATCTGTAAATTATTAAAAATGTAAAAATAATAAATAATGTACATAAATAAATCTTGAAAAAACTACAATAATATAACAAAAAGAACTACCGTTTTTAGTGCAGAATAAAGATACATTTACCTTATTTAAATGTACTTGTTATAATTACAACATGATTTTCTTATAGATAATATCTCAAAAAACATACAATGGAAACATAACAATGAAGGAACTTTTATTAATTAAAAAAAAAATTATGCTCATAAGAAATAGTTTGTTTTTAATAATTAATTTATAGTGATGCATAATATATCAGGAGGTTATACGCTATTGTTAATCATTAGTCAACATAGGAAGATCTTTATTTGACGTAGTTATTACATATTAAAATAGGAAGTCAAGTTTAAATAAGATGAACTAAGTGTATTTATATTTTTAATATATAAACAGACAGTTTTATTTATATTTTAAATAATTATAAAAGGAGTGAGTGACATTATTTTTTAAGTGTTCCAACACTAATTCAACACTATTTTTATTTCCTGATAAATTAATAGAATGAAAATTTTCCAATTATATCTACATATAAAAAACATAAAGAATTTAATAAAACTAAAATTATGAAGTATAATACAAAAATCTGTAACTATTTAGAAAACACTAAAAATGAAAACAAAAACTTTTATAAAATAACTGCAAAAATTTTACAATTATTATTTGTTAAAATGGACAATAAGCGAAAAAAGATATGTAAAACATTACATGCTGATTCTTTGAACAAATAGTGGATAACAATATAATGCAAAATATATAAAAATTAGATATTTTAGTGAAAATTTTTTTGACTAAGTAGTTGTTTTTTATAGTAGAATATTCTATTTTGTGCCTTGTGAACGTTATGAGTCATGTAAGCTGGTTCAATGCAAAAATGAGAAAGATTTACTTCATAATATTGAAAATTATAAATATAATAATGAGGAATAATTGAGATAAAACAGTTGTGAAATGTATTTAAATTGTGTTACCAATGTTAAATCTATTTAACTGAAGTGTTATGAAGGACATAAAGCTCGTGCTTATTATGAAAATATTAAATCATATTAGAGCCTCATTTCACGAAGCGTAAAGCATATGATCAAAGTGTTTTACACAACATTTTAATGTCCTCATTCGAGAGATTAAATATAGGCGAATGACAAAAAGTTAAAGGTATGTGAATTGTAGAACACAAAGCTTCCATTATACAAAATAAAATTAGCATTCCATCTGCGTTTTATGAAGCTGTTCAGGATTCTTCTACTACTCGAATTAATTCTTTTTTTATTATTATAGAAATATCTTATGAAGCATTAAGTATATATTATTATTATCAAAGTTTCTTACATATTGGGAACAATTATATTATTACAGCTTTACTTTCATGTAAATATAAATTATAATTTAATATATAAGTATTTTTTATTTAGTATTCATAATTTATTTGTGTGTCTTATATCTTTATTAAAGTATTATATTCCTCTCTTATTATATATTAGTCTAATATATCTAGATATGTTTTGCATAAAATGGGGCTAAAAAGAGAAAAATTAAACAAAAATCAAAAAGGAATATTAGAAGATATATTATCATTATATGAGTAAAAATGCGAAATCATGTATCAACACATAAAATAATATTATTTGGTATATTTTCATATAGAAACAGTTTTCTATAACCACACACTGAATACTGTATTATTTAAGGGTTTTATATAAATATATACACTAGTAGATTTATGCAAACCCTGCTTAATATGAAACGAAATAGGAAATACAATGAAATATAGGTTTTAATAAATTAATATTTTGGCACTATAATAACATAATTAATATATATTTTTATCCTTATCATAACGAGTCTGGTAGTAAATTGTGATTTCTATACATATAATTAGGATTTTGGGCTATATATTATTAAATCATTATTTACACTATCATTTATGATTCATATATAACATTTTACTTAAATAGACATCATTTAATTCAGATAAAACTATTATATATTTTTCTACACATATATGTAAAAAGATACTAATTTATTCCTTATGCACTCATATCATAGTTTTTTTACTATGATGTAATAATTATATTAATTTAATTACAGATGTCAACATATTATAACCATTTTATAATATATAAGAACTATATTTTTTTGATATATCAATTTTATGTGATGTTTCTTAAATTATTTAAATATATATGTATTTGTATTATTTTTTATAATAACTTAAACAATGTACATTGTGCATGCATTATAGGTGATATATTGCTCATGTAAATGAATAAATATATTCACGTGATATAATACTTATATTATAATATATATGGCTTTTAATATATTAGCTGACAGATGCTTTCTATGAAATATATATAATTTATGTATAGTTACATTTTATAATAGTCATTCTCACTTAATTATGAGTTCATGAACAATTTTAACTGGAATAATGATCCTGAAGGATAAATAAATATATTTCTTAAATAAAAGATAGCTTTTAATATAAATCTTCAAATATGTGACATAGTAAATTCATTATATTATAAAATTAAAATTTTAAGCCAATATGATTATACGTGTATTAACTAAAGGCATTACGGAATATAAAAAAATGTAAAGGAGTTTATAAATTATATATAACTCATAATTCCGTTTTATATATTAATCTTAAATTTGAATTTTTGTGATATTATCTAAATTTAACAGATTATAATATTTATATTATAATTATATTTCTAATTTAATTATAAAAGCCTGTGCATATTCAATCATAACATTAATACACATTAAGGCAAAGTTATACTTTAACTTTTATATGATAATTCACTCTTGCATAATATGTAGAGGAATATAATATAAATAATTTATAACAGAATGAATCATGTTATCAGATATCAATGATATAATGTACACTGCAATAAAACAATAGCTAAAGGAAATATCCTAAATAATAACCATTAACGCTGAAGCCTTATAATTATTATTATATTTATGTATAAAAATTGAGGATTATTTTATAAAGTTATATATTTATTATTTATATTTTTTTAAGATACAAATAAATTATGTGCGTAAAACACATGTAACATTAAATTAAAGCGTAATAGATAAAATCATCATGAATAAGAATATGTAGCAATATTATAATTATTTTGGGAATAAATGTGTTTTTTAAGAAAATATTTATACAGTAGCTCTCTTTCATATAAGTAAAACATAAGTTATATATATATAATATATTGATACGATATTATCTCCTTAAGGATTTTCAATACACTTAAGGAATCATTATTTAAAAACGCTAGAATAAGATTAAATTAAATTACTTATTATTTATATATAACCCTGAAAACTTTTTTGTCTATAATAAATTAAAAAAAGAATAGTTGCAGTGATTTTTATTAAAAGAATGTGTATAAGCAACATATTATTCAAGTGTAATTTTCCATTTTAAATGTTTATGTATATACATAAAATATGAAAAAACAAAAATTCAAATATTTATAACAAGAAAAATATAAAGAATACATAAGAAATGAAAGAAATATATGAAATTCTATTATTCCTGTATGACTAATATTATTTACACTCATTACAAAAGTATGTACAAAGTGAGAAGCAAAATTATGTGTAAAGAATTTAAATAAAATTATTATGAAACACAGTGATTAAATAAATACAAAAAATGTACATATTTATGAATTCAGGTGAAAAATGTATGAATGTATTGACAAAAAAAAAGAAAATTAGCAAAACGTACACTTAATTATTTTATGTAAATTACACTAAATCATTTTTTTTTGTTGAACTTTGTATTTTAGTATCAAAATTTATTTATATTAGAAATGTATAAATGTAAAACACTGGTATTGTTATAAAACAAATAATAACCCCATTATATATATATATATATATTTTCTGGTATACTGCGTTCTTAAACAAGAATATTTATATATTATTTATCGTTTAAGTTTATTAATCGGATATTTTTACATTATCCATATTATTACAAGTTAACCCTAGTTTTTACGTATTTTACTAATTTTTACTTTGAAGTATATTTATACTTTCAATTTATAGAATTTAATACATCCATATCATATGAATGTAGACAAGTATTATATGTACACACAGAAACAGCTTCCTTATAGTTGTATATTTTGAAAAAACATATATCGTATTATAAATAATATAATATGAAATATATTTATGAAGATCCAGTATATATAAAATTCGAATATATATATTTTTTGTAACATTTTTTAAGGGCGAATATAATCATATATATTTTTTATGTCTACAGTTCACTCTATAAAAGCTTTTATATGAATAATTTAATATATGTATTTTATGTGAACATTTTGTAATTATTTTTATAATTATATTCCATTACACTTCCTTATGCGCATAACTCAGAGGTACATCATCTATAATAGTAATATACAAAGCATGGATGAATTCATATTATTTAAATTAATATGTTTATACTTAAATGAAGTTTAAATAAAAGAATTTGGTGTTTATTAATATTTATTTTATTTATAATATTAAATACGTTTTTTAATGCACAGTTATTGTACGGTTTATTTTTATCCAATTGAGTATTCATCATTTTTTTACTATATTATTTTATATTAATGGTTGTGTAACAATGTATTTATTTTATTATATAGTTATATAACATTCGTGATTTAATTGGGTATAAGGTAATTTTACATTTCACAAAAGTTTCTTTTTGTATGTATTAATATACTAATCATGATTATGTTTTTTTGTAAGCATATTATTTTGTTATATTATAGCATACATTTAAGTTTTATATAACATCAACTTTCCGTATATTTTTATAATATCATTATAAATTGCACATTATGCAGTGACATTTTCGAATTGATATTTTATCCATTATTTTAAATTACAATAATATTCTATTATATTTATTCATTCATTACTTGATTAGAATATATATGTTTATATAATTATGACTTTCTTTAATTCTACATAGCTTCCTAATATTTTTTAACTATTGATTAAACTACATTGTATCACTTATTATTCTGAATATTTATTACTAATAATTCTCTGAGGAATATGTTACTTGATACTTCCTATCTATTGAATTTTTGTATGTCTTTTCAAAAGGCTTCATTAAGTCATTATGATTATTATTTTTTTTTTTTATCATGCGCCTTAATGCCATTAAACGTAGTTTTAGAAATGCACCATAGGGAGTGTACTGATAATAAAGAAATATTGTTCTATGATTATATATAAAATATTTAAATGAAATGTTTTTATCATACGAATATATATTTTAATATTTGAATCAACATGAATTTAATAAATTTAATTTATATATAACTTTAAAAAGAACGAATACAATTGTTAATATTATAAATGGAAAAACAACTACTCCTGTACCTGTGCTTGTCAATGTCTCGTGCATTGTACTTGAGCTCGTCTCTTTGTTTGGTTGGGACATTGCGCTTATACTTATCTTTTTTTTTTCTTGGTTTATCGCACTTTCACTTGGTCCTTGTTTTATGTCTTCTGTTAATGGCTCCTTATATGAATGTTGTATACTTTTAGGTATAACATAATTAGGACATAATGTGTTATATTCATTTTCAACTTTTTCAATTACGTTTATAAAACTTGAGTTACCTCTAAATTCACAGTTTTTTAATCTTTCAATATCTTTTTTGAATTGTTGACTGCTTCTTTTACATACAATGGTATTTTTCTTTAATGCATCAATAGTAACATATAGTACATCCAAATAATGAAATACATGATATAAATTTTCTTCAATAACATTCATCCTATGAACATCATCCTTACATATCTCCGGAACATTTATTGCAGATGCACCTCTTTTCCCTTGCCTTAAAATATCGTAACAATTTTTTGTATTATTGCAATTACCTTTATATTTTTCCACTAGATCTTTTAGTTTGTAATAGAAATATGCACAGTTTGCTTTAATATTAAAGTTTGAATTTTGTTTGTATTTTTCATTATTTATATAATTTAAATAAGAACCTAGTGGTATACAAAATTTTTCTTGAAATTCCTGGGGACGATGTACTTTAGGATATATATTATTATGAAAATAATTGCACATTTTTGAATATTGAGTATAAGATGGTTCCTGTGGTCTGTTCTGTGTAATAGTAATATAATTATTTCTGCATTCCGGAAATATACCAGTAAAAACAAACTAGGAATGAATGTAAAAATATATATAAATATATATATTATTTTTTCTTTAAAAAATATATCTCGCTTATTTTTCAATGATATAAATATATTTTTTAAATTATACGAATTAAAATATAACTCTAGTAGTATTAAACATACCTCTTTTTTCGCATTTATGTCGTCAAACATATTCTCCTATATATGTTAATCAAAATACATAACTATTATTTATTTCTTTCTAATCAATTTATATGCATTAAAAATATTATAATATATAATATTGAAACAATATATATTAAATGTTATAATTTATATAAATTTGTGAAATTTATTTAAATATATATTTTTTATTTAATACAAATATTAGTTAAATGTGGATGATATTATATATGCTGATATATAGGAATATATTTTCATGTAAATAGATAATATGAAACACTGTTTTATAATGTTGAAGTAATATGCATATATTAAACGATCATTTATACTTTCTTTATACAGTTTTGTATATATAATTTTATAAAAGAAAGTGTCATCATCAATTATAAATAAAAAATATAAATTTATATAATCAATAATTATATTGTAAAATGATCATTTATATGAATATATTTTTTGTTATATGAAATATATATAAATAGACATAGTTATATGACGATTGCATATATCACTTAGTGTTGAATGATTTATTCTTAGGAATTATATACAAAAAACACAATGCTTATTTTTTAATGATTTTTTAAGCATAACTATAAATGAATCAACTCTTATTATACTTCCTTATAGTAAATAGTCTAAATTATATATCTATAATATTGAATATATTATGTTGAAATGATATAGCATTATATTCCATATTATGTGAATATATGATATATAATAATTATAACATAATAATCTTACTTATCTATATTGATCACAGTTTATTTACTACATAAGCATATTATATATATGCAGAATTAATAATATTAGCACATATACATATAATTCTATGTTCAACAACTATATATATTACTTGTATGATGATTTTATAATTAAATTATTTTAATTTTAAACCATCCATGTAATGCGACTAATAAATGATGTTTTATTGATATTAAATATTAATTTTACTATATAAAAAATTTATTTATTTCGTTTTTATGGGCTCATTTATAAGTAATATTTTGCTATATTATAAAGCGTTCATTATATTTTTTTTTTTTACAGTAAATTATTTCAGTTAAAAATATCCTTACAAAATTTGGAAAAATTAAATATACTAAGAAAAAAAATTATTTTTTTCAATTTACATTACATATTATATAGTGATATGTGTATGAAAATTTTTATTTCATATTCCTTTTACAATATAATGCACATATTTTTAAATTTACTCATATAATTTTGTTATATATTTTATTAATCAGAATTGGCATAAAATATGAATAAGCAAAAAAATTGTTAAGATGAAAAATAATATTACTTTAATTTAAAATTTTCTTACTATTTATAAAAATATGCTTTTTTTAGAAACTATAATTTATTTAGTATTAAATATTAAATAAAATCAAAAGTAATCAATAAGACAAAGCTGTAATGATTCTTACTTTGTTATCACATAAAGATTATATTAGTTAAGTATAACATAGATTTAGTTCTTCCATTATTTTAGGATATAATGTGCATACTATTCATATTCAGCAATAAATAGTTTCTAAAATTATCCTTGTGTTGATGCTATATAAATATTATTTTTTTTAAAATTATAAAATATATAGAAATAACTCTTTACATATTATAATAAAAAAATAATTGCGAATTTATTATAACCTGAAATTTTACAGAGATATAAATTATCATATTATGATGTAAATTCTTTAACATATAACACCTATAACTATTTATATATGACACTTATTCTTATTCATATTAAATAACTATAACAGAATAAATAATACATGTGTAAAAGGAATTATCTATGATATTATTTTATTTCGATAATATATAATCAAGAAAGGTGTGTTAATTATGAACATATAAATGTAACGTAATAAAATTATGTATGAAACAAGAAAATAAATTTTCATTTTTTATACATTATAAATAAATTGATTTACTATATCACATTTGGTTTGTTATGAATATTATTTTGTTTTATTTAAAACTATAAGTCTCATATGGATGATA